ACTGAGTGCCCATTGTTCTATAAAATATAAGTCAAGCCCTATATGCCCAATGCACCGAAAGGAGCGGAAAAGGGTCAGGTACTTTACTTACATTATTGTTATTACGCATTTAAACAAGGTGTAGGTCACCTGAGCGTCAACAATGTACTGATTACTGGTTTAAGAATCGACATCATAGCACACCGTGCATACCCATAAATGCCCAGTCTCCCCCACCAAACGTATTAAGGTGTAGATGCTAACTGTTCCTGTAGCACGCTGATTATTTTGTTGTTATTTCATCTAAACCCGTGTCTTCTGTGAGCAGTCGTCGCCAACTCTGTAGAAAATGTGTAAGAGGGAGGGGAGAAGCCCACCCCCCACTCCGACCCCCCGACCCCCCTTTCTCTCAAAGATTTCGTTTCTTTATGCAAAAGTCCCTGTTCAGGACCATACAGTTCACCATACGTGTCGTAGTGTCCCTGCAAGGACAACCCGATATTCTGACTTGTTCCACCGCAAACATATTCTATATTAACCCTTGTGTCGAAATTATGGCTTCAACTATTTCTGTTCTATTGTTTCTCCGTCGAACTCTTTCAGATCTTAGCATTTGTTTATTCTTTAAAACTGAAGTCTTTGGGACAGAAACGGGTTATTCTTGTTTGGGTCACGAAAAATAAAAGACCCACAAACCCATTTCGAGCAAATTGTCAAAAGCGACTAATTAGGGATTGACAGAAATCGGACGGTTGAACCGAAAGGTGCAGCTTTAGCAGCCTAGCTGTAAACCACAATGGGCTAACCGTCTTTTTCAGGACACACAAGAAGAAGAAGAAGAAGAAGAAGAAGAAGAAGAAGACGAAGAAGAAGAAGAAGACGAAGAAAAAGAAGAAGGAGAAGAAGAAGAAGAGGAAGAAGAAGAAGAATAAAAGGAAGAAGTAGAAGAAGAAGAAGAAGAAGAAGAAGAAGAAGAAGAAGAAGAAGAAGAAGAAGAAGAAGAAGAAGAAGAAGAAGAAGAAGAAGAAGAAGAAGAAGAAGAAGAAGAAGAAGAAGAAGAAGAAGAAGAAGAAGAAGAAGAAGAAGAAGAAGAAGAAGAAGAAGAAGAAGAAGAAGAAGAAGAAGAAGAAGAAGAAAAGAAGAAGAAGAAGAAGAAGAAGAAGAAGAAGAAGAAGAAGAAGAAGAAGAAGAAGAAGAAGAAGAAGAAGAAGAAGAAGAAGAAGAAGAAAGAAGAAGAACAAGAAGAAAGAAGAAGAACAAGAAGAAAGAAGAAGATCAAGAAGAAAAAGAAGAAAAGAAGAAGAAGAAGAAGAAAAAGAAGAAGAAGAAAAAGAAGAATGCCAATTGGTCTGTACAAAAAAAAAAAAAAATATGAGGTGTCTAACATCAATGCCCGAACGCCACTGATCGCAAAAGATCCCACAGAAGGTGTGAACGCGATATTTCCGATAATAACGATTTAAATGACATCAGTGACTGGAACACAGGTTTACACAACGCATAAAAAAACAAATATACACAAAGAACACAACGGGCAGCTATATTCCAGTTGTCACCACCAATACATGTTATGAAACCTTCTTCGACTCAGTGACGCAAATGCACGGTGCCTGTTTACTACAGAGATGCGATATTTGCGCCTTTTGGCCGACACATCCGACTTTATTTGGAAACTACTGTTACAGTACAGATCGACTTCGCCTTTTAAACACCTCACGAGACAGTGGCGCAAATTTCTTAACAGTCTTCGTGTCGGAACTTTAGTTACGATAACACTGAAGGCAGTCCTTAACAGTTACCGTAGATATATGAAAAATAGCTACTGTAGATTTGTGGACAAACAGTTACTGCAGATATAAAAAAAAAACAGTTACTGCAGATATGTGAAAAACGGTTACTGCAGATATGTGAAAAACAGTTACTGCATATATGTGGAAAATAGCTACTGTAGATATGGGACAAACAGCTATTGCAGATATGTGGAAAAACAGTTACTGCAGATATGTGGAAAATAGTTACTGTAGATAAGGGACAAACAGCTACTGCAGATATGTGGAAAATAGCTACTGTAGATAAGGGACAAACAGCTACTGCAGATATGTGGAAAATAGCTACTGTAGATAAGGGACAAACAGCTACTGCATATATGTGAAAATAGCTACTGTAGATAAGGGACAAACAGCTACTGCAGATATGTGGAAAAACAGTTACTGTAGATATGTGGAAAACAGCTACTGTAGATATGTGGAAAAACAGTTACTGCAGATATGTGGAAAACAGCTACTGCAGATGTGTGGAAAACAGTTACTGTAATGTGAAAAACAGTTACTGTAGATACGTGGCAAGACGGGCCATTTTCTGTTAGTGTTAACTGGTCACTAGGGGGGGGGGGGGGGGGTGGTAGTTCTGGTTTTTCGTCAACTTCTAGACTTTGGTCTTATTCTATAACTTCAGTTTTGCGTGCCCATCTGCTTTACAGATTCAACTTATGTGGGTGCAAACTGTCAGTACCTGGCCCCTCATGCAGATGCACTCCTACTACGAAGGCCCTCCCCCCTCCCCCCGCCCTCAGTTTGTCCCCGCCTTTGATAGACTTGTTAGAGGGCAGAAGGCCTACCCCCCCCCCCACCCTCTATAATTGGGCCCCAAAACTCACACAGGGAAGACAAGCCTTCACATATTCTAGGCCACAAGGTATCAGGTGCAGTGATCATTTCCCTTCCACCTGCCTTTGCTTTCATTGATAATTCACATATCATTGTAAAAACTACGTGATATCAGGTGTTACGAAACGCGCTCTTCACAGGTTCGTACTAATCAGAAACAATAATTCTGCCTCTTTTAGGGGTTAAACCCGAGCTATTTGCCTTGGCAACAATAGTGCTAGCTACTATAACAGAACATCATGTGTTGTAATACGCAAGCAAAAATACGGGGGGGGGGGGGGAGGAAAGAATTTTTGAAGATCTGTATAAGCCAAACTCTTCAATTTAACTAAATGTAGTTGCAATTTTGGAAACAGTCGATCAAAGACTTAAACACTCTCATAACAGCTCCGTTTGATGACTGAAAGCCTAAAGTCGGCCAACAATTGTTTTCGTTAGAGTTGACTTGGCAGATAAAGGCGGACTAAATGTGTGATTTAGCTTTGTATGGCTATGTGTAGCTCAGAATTTCTTTTTTTTTAATCAGTTATTATTAAATGCATTTGAATATAAATGTTACAGACAGGTTCTAAGAATATCTTGGGTAAAGAAAAGAACAAATGCATCCATACTTCAAGAGCTGAATATTGAAGAGGGTTGGCTAGTAAAGACAATAAAACAAAGAAAATTGAAATATTTTGGTCACTTGAAACGTCATGGAAGTCTAGAAAGAACAATAATGGAGGGGTATATGCCTGGGAAGAGAGGAAGAGGAAGGCCAAGGAGAAGATGGGTGCAGGATGTGGCAGATGATCTCCAGATGGGTGTATCAGACGCAGGACATCTTGCTCAGGATAGGAAGGTTTTCCGGAGGGTTGTTATGGCAGCGAGGTTCCGCGAGGGACATGCTACTGAATGAATGAATGAATGAATCAGTTATTGAATATCAGTTATTATTGTAGTCATTACGGATATTGATACAAATGTTTGCAGAATGCCTATGACTAACACATAATCATTGCCTCCTCTAGACAGGACTCTGACAGGATGGCACCACGTACGCCATTGACAGATGGATACTCTTCTGTACTTTATGATGATAATCATAGAGGTCCTGTTGTCTATGACAACTTCGGAGAGAACCTCTCAAATGAAGGATTCAATTCTGTTGTCTATGACAACCCTGTAGAGAAACTCACAAATGGAGGAGACGATTCAGTTGTCTATGACAACTCTGTAGAGAACCTTTCGAATGGAGGATACAATTGCGTGCAGTCTGATTGCAACCTCGACGACAGTGTTATTTCTGTAGGAAGCGCTTCTGTGTCATTTGATCACAACCTTGAAAAAAGTGCTATTTCTGCAGGCGAAACACCGCTGTTATATAACTGCAACCTTGAAGACACTGTTATGTCTGTCGGACATTGCAACCTTAAAGTCAGTCCTATCTCTGTAGGACATACTTCTGTATTATGTGATTGCAGCTTTGAAGACAGTCCTATTTCTGTAGGACATACTTCTGTATTATGTGATTGCAGCTTTGAAGACAGTCCTATTTCTGTAGGACATACTTCTGTATTATGTGACTGCAGCTTTGAAGTCAGTCCTATTTCTGTAGGACATACTTCTTTGTTATGTGAATGCAGCTTTGAAGACAGTCTTATTTCTGTAGGACATACTTCTGTTTTAAGTAATTATAAACATGAAGTCAGTCATATTTATGAGGAAAACACTTCCGTATTAAGTGAATGCATTCTTGACGTCAGCTCCATCGCTGTATTAAGTGAATACAGATTTGAAGTCAGTCCCATTTCTGTTGGACAAACGTCTCTGTTAAGTGAATCCATCCTCGATGTCAGTCCCATTTCTGTAAGAAACATCTCTGTAATCCACGATTACAGCACTAGAGACATCAGTCCCATTTCTGTATTAAGTAAATACAGACTCGACGTAAGTCCCATTTCTGTCAGAAACATCTCTGTAATCCGTGATTACAGCACTGGAGACAGCCCCACGCTTGTAGCAGTGTCTCCTGTATGTTGTCGCAACCTGGGGAAAAGAGGAACACCCGAGGGACACAGTTGTTCTACACTCTGTGATGATAAGTCCGGATGTACCCCTGCAATATGCGAATTCAGCATTATCGATAGTCCCATTTATGTAGGTGGTACCTCTGTGATCTGTGATTACACCATAGGAGACAACCCCACGCCACTAGGATACAGTTCTGCAGTCTGTGATCATAACCTCAGATTTACATGCACACCTGTACGATACAAGCCTGTACTTAATGGTTATGGACTTAGAGGCAACTGCAGGCCTGTAAGATGTACTCCCGCAATCAGTGAAAACACTATTATGTGGGAAGTTACCGAGATGGTAACACACAAGGAAAACGAACACCAATCCAACGTCCCCAGAAAACTTAATTCGCGCAGGCTTTTTCCTTTTCCTGCAGTAAGAAAGTTTGGCAGGTTGCCTCGGTTTATCCGCCGCGTATTTAAAAACAAGAAGGCAAGAGAGTCGTCTAAACATCTCCAGGCTCAAACCGTGGATTCATTATCCGAACATCTTGACAGTCAAACAGTGAATTTGAATAATCTTGGCCAGGAGCAATCAAGTTTATCATTCGAGCAAAGTTCTCATCAATCAGTTTACCATAGTGACACCCCACTTCTAGAATCGCAAGAACACCCGCAGCAAACAGTTACCCCAGCCAATGATTACTCCAAGCAGACAACGAACTCAGCCAAACTTGCCGGGGAAGACAGAAACATGACGGACGGGAAAGTGAAGGCTGCATGCGGTCTGCAGAACGTGGCTCTTGGATCTCAGAGTCACGTGGGTCAGGCAGGGAGAGTTGCCAGTTGGGCTGTCCACTTTGATCGACTGTTGCAAGACCCGCTGGGAGTCAACATCTTCACAGTAAGCCTTTTTTTTTCCTTGATCCTTTATTTTATGTTGTCCTCCATGAATGGGCTCCGAGATCCCATTTTAAGGGTTTAAAAATAAAACCCAGACCCGCCGCATCCATAAGAAAAAACAAGTCGTAAAAGGCGACTTATTGGAGTTTTTTTTTTTTTTTTGGGGGGGGGGGGGGGTCTCTGAAGTGGGAACGCATCTGCCTGAGAAGCGAGGAACCAACAGTCTGCGTAAATATAAGCCAGATTGGTAAAATGGATATGCACGCAGAATTCACGTTCAGGAACAGGACTAAAATCCAGAAGTGGACAAACAGCCAGAACTTTTCAGCGGAGTTCACAGGCTGTGAACGCGAAGAATAAGAGGAAGAAGAAGAAGAAGAAGAAGAAGAAGAAGAAGAAGAAGAAGAAGAAGAAGAAGAAGAAGAAGAAGAAGAAGAAGAGGAAGAAGAAGAAGAAGAAGAAGAAGAAGAAGAAGAAGAAGAAGAAGAAGAAGAAGAAGAAGAAGAAGAAGAAAAAGAAGAAGAAGAAGAAGAAGAAGAAGAAGAAGAAAAAGAAAAAGACGACGAAAAAGAAGAAGAAGAAGAAGAAGAAGAAGAAGAAGAAGAAGAAGAAGAAGAAGAAGAAGAAGAAGAAGAAGAAGAAGAAGAAGAAGAAGAAGAAGAAGAAGAAGAAGAAGAAAAAGAACAAGAAAACGAAGAAGAAAAAGAACAAGAAGAATAAAAAGATGACGAGGATGCTGCTGACTATGTTCGTTTATCACAAGTGATAAAGGCAACTTGGCAGCCACAAGTAGTAGTGAACTGGAACCTAAAGAGTTCTTGAGCCGGGTGGACAACAGAGGACGCGATAGCAAATGTGGGATTTTCCCCATGGTTCTCTCTAGACTGCACCTGTTCTGCCAGCGCAACCTCTTTTTTCTGGACATACTCGATGATTGGCCGCCATTCAGATCGGTCTTGAGCAACTGCCTCCCACGTTTCCATCTTAATGCTAAAATATTTAGCAGCAGTTTTAAGAATGTCCTAAAAGCTCCCCCCCCCCCCCTGTCCAACTGTGAATCTTTTCCCGTGCTGGAATTCGCTGTAAAATATTCGCCTTTGGAAGCTAATAGTCTGGTATGCAAGCTGGGTGATCATTTTGTACTGCATTTCTAGTACAAATATCTAGTAAAACCATTTGGGCTACATTTTGGTTCTAAAATGTATTTTGTTATTTCATATAATTGACGTATATACAGTTATACGGTCGCTATCTGTTCGGAAAAAATGCAATAACGCCAAACAATTTATCGGACAAATAACACTAATACTGGGAGAAATACACTATGTACAAATAGGTATCGAAATACGCACAACATAATATTGGGGGTTTAAAAAAAAATATCTTCCAAGAGCATCCTCTAAAATGACAGAACAAGGGAAGAGAAAATCACAAAAACTAAGATGTAAATGATGAAAGTATCAGGAATGGTGCAACCAACTGTGTAAAAATGTGGATAGTGACAGAAAAATGTTTTACAAAAAATAAACTGATGAAACGGTTTAGTCATCGGATTTGACTGTAAACAAACCTTTCTCCCTCAATGAGCCGACGATAATACACGATGAACACATTGAATCATAGAATCCACTCGACAGATAACATTAATACTAGACATTGATTCATCGAGAAACTAGATAACGGACAGAGCTGAGAGCACTAATACCTGACATTGATTCATCGAGAAACTAGATAACAGACAGTGCTGAGAGCACTAATACCTGACATTGATTGATCGAGAAACTAGATAACGGACAGAGCTGAGAGCACTAAATACCTGACATTGATTCATCGAGAAACTAGATAACGGACAGAGCTGAGAGCACTAATACCTGACATTGATTGATCGAGAAACTAGATAACAGACAGTGCTGAGAGCACTAAATACCTGACATTGATTCATCGAGAAACTAGATAACGGACAGAGCTGAGAGCACTAAATACCTGACATTGATTCATCGAGAAACTAGATAACGGACAGAGCTGAGAGCACTAATACCTGACATTGATTGATCGAGAAACTAGATAACAGACAGTGCTGAGAGCACTAATACCTGACATTGATTCATCGAGAAACTAGATAACGGACAGAGCTGAGAGCACTAATACCTGACATTGATTGATCGAGAAACTAGATAACAGACAGTGCTGAGAGCACTAATACCTGACATTGATTCATCGAGAAACTAGATAACGGACAGAGCTGAGAGCACTAATACCTGACATTGATTGATCGAGAAACTGGATAACGGACAGTGCTGAGAGCACTAATACCTGACATTGATTCATCGAGAAACTAGATAACAGACAGTGCTGAGAGCACTAATACCTGACATTGATTCATCGAGAAACTAGATAACGGACAGAGCTGAGAGCACTAATACCTGACATTGATTCATCGAGAAACTGGATAACGGACAGTGCTGAGAGCACTAATACCTGACATTGATTCATCGAGAAACTAGATAACGGACAGAGCTGAGAGCACTAATACCTGACATAGATTCATCGAGAAACTAGATAACGGACAGAGCTGAGAGCACTAATACCTGACATTGATTCATCGAGAAACTAGATAACGGACAGAGCTGAGAGCACTAATACCTGACATTGATTCATCGAGAAACTAGATAACGGACAGAGCTGAGAGCACTAATACCTGACATTGATTCACTGAGAAACTAGATAACGGACAGTGCTGAGAGCACTAATACTGGACATTGATTCATCGAGAAATTAGATAACGGACAGAGCTGAGAGCACTCATACCTGACATTGATTCATCGAGAAACTAGATAACAGACAGTGCTGAGAGCACTAATACCTGACATTGATTCATCGAGAAACTAGATAACGGACAGAGCTGAGAGCACTAATACCTGACATTGATTCATCGAGAAACTAGATAACAGACAGAGCTGAGAGCACTAATACCTGACATTGATTGATCGAGAAACTAGATAACGGACAGAGCTGAGAGCACTAATACTGGACATTGATTCATCGAGAAACTAGATAACAGACAGTGCTGAGAGCACTAATACCTGACATTGATTCATCGAGAAACTAGATAACAGACAGTGCTGAGAGCACTAATACCTGACATTGATTCATGGAGAAACTAGATAACGGACAGTGCTGAGAGCACTAATACCTGACATTGATTCATCGAGAAACTAGATAACAGACAGTGCTGAGAGCACTAATACCTGACATTGATTCATCGAGAATTTAGATAACAGACAGTGCTGAGAGCACTAATACCTGACATTGATTCATCGAGAAACTAGATAACGGACAGTGCTGAGAGCACTAATACTGGACATTGATTCATCGAGAATTTAGATAACAGACAGTGCTGAGAGCACTAATACCTGACATTGATTCATCGAGAAACTAGATAACGGACAGTGCTGAGAGCACTAATACCTGACATTGATTCATGGAGAAACTAGATAACGGACAGAGCTGAGAGCACTAATACCTGACATTGATTGATCGAGAAACTAGATAACAGACAGTGCTGAGAGCACTAATACCTGACATTGATTCATGGAGAAACTAGATAACGGACAGTGCTGAGAGCACTAATACTGGACATTGATTCATCGAGAAACTAGATAACGGACAGAGCTGAGAGCACTAAGATTGGACATTGATTCACCGAGAAAAGGGTCAGTAGATGCGACCGAAAATATTAATATTTGAACTGACTCACCACAAATTATATTTATGACGAAGTCAACCTGACCTTTGAATGAATGTTAAGAAAAGTCGACAAAACATTAAACTAATCTTTCATCTTGCACATTTTAGAATTTACGATGTGTGAGAATTTAGATAATGATTTCTTTAATGCTTCGGCTGTTTGTGCTACACTTTACTTACTCACTTAATATGATATTTATGTCAATGATATTCTTATGCAGAAATTTCTGGAAAGAGAGTTCAGCGATGAAAACATGAGATTCTGGCAAGTTTGTCAGCGGTTCCGTGGCTTAGCTGACCAGCGGCAGGTAACTTTTGTGGGCATGTTGTTGCAGAGTCAGTCAAATAAACGTCTAGTGCTAGTCTTAGATTGACATCAACTAGTTCCTGAGATAATAGTTATACAGGGCGTGTTGCCGATGCATCATACATCGGCTAACGTGTCGCCTTATTGGCTCGCCGGTAGATGACGTCGTCGCCGGTAGGGACAGTATTTGGGGCTGTCTCCTTGATTTAATCAACACTGTAGGAGTTCTTTTCAGTGCCATTTTTTTTATCTATATAGTCACAATTATAATAACATAACGCTCCCCCTTCAGGGATTCTGGGTGAACGTGACGATTTTTGTTTTCAGCAAAGCATCAGATCAATCTTGTTTCTAATGACCACAGCTGTTAAAGGCCAAAGTCACGTGGATCGACTTTATTGTACCGGGTACTATCCCATTTGACTCGGTCTCTTTCCGTACAACGGATAGCCGATGCCGAAAGGGTCGCGAGAAGCACGAGCACCATAGATCCAGCGACGATCACCAGGGATCGTAAATATGGCACTCGGAACCGAACGACGTAGCCGGGAAACGAACCCAGGGCCCACAGAGGGCGAGGCAAACAGCCACTCGACACACCACACTCACGCTGTGTTACATCAAGGGCGCCAACAGGAAGAAAAAATTCGAGGGTTCAATAAGTAAAAACATAATTCAACGATCATCGGAGCTATTCGCCAAAACTCAGTCTTGTAATGATCACGTTGGCTTACTCCAATGATAAAGGGTTTCAATAATCAGCATTCTTTACGTTCCCAGTCCCAAGTAAATGTAATCATACATCTTCAATAAAAGAAAATGTGCAAATACAAATTAAAAAAAAAAAAAATTTAGTAGGAAGGGGGAGTTATATCAGGCAAATGGCAGAGGGGGAAAATAGGGAGAGGGGGCGGGGAGGATTAACTCAAGGGGCCAAACCTCCAAGGTTCCGGTGCCTATGTGCTACATATTTGCACTAGTTTGGAAAATCGTATTAATTCGTTGTAAGTTTATTTGTAACAACATTATGGCCAGCACATTAGTCATTATGAAGTTTGTAAACCACTATTACAGTTTTAATATAAATTTAAAAAAAAATAAAAACTGCCAACCGGCAACTGCTGCCTGCATTGACCACTTCTGCGTTGAAAAAAAAAAGTTGGGGGAGGATGGGGAGAGGGGGGGGGGCGAGCCTGGGGATTCAGGGCTGCGTGGCTGGAATATTTAAATAGAAATTGCACGACGTGGCAGATTTCTGATTTACATATTAATTGCTGCACGTAATTTTCTGGTATTTTACTGAAAGATATACTTTTCACATGAATAAATAATTAGCTATCGACACTGTTTTGAAATCTCGTATCATCTTTCAGCAACAAGCTTTAGCACATGACATCTACAGTGGTCACATAGCAGAACAAGCCAGCGACCCAGTAAATATCGACAACGCGACTAGGTCACACACAGAACAGTTTCTAGACTCTCCAACTTCCGCCATGTTTGATGTGGCACAAAATCAGGTCAGTGCGATTTCTAATTAGTGATTGCTGAATACTACCATAACAGCACACCGACAGATCTACACGGGGGAAGTTTTTTTTTTTTTAAATATCCAGAAACCATGAATTCTTAACCCTTAGGCTCGGGACTTTATTATGGATATCGCAACCCTTCGGTTTTGATTCCATGATAAATACCGTAAATCTGAGAGAAATGTGGCTTTTCTGCCTACACCCGGGCATGAACCTGGACCACAAGGAGTTCATCACCCGGTCGTCGTGAAGTCAGGTTTAGCCAACAACGCTAGGCGTGGGAAGAGTTAAACATTGTAACCTGCCAAGTCTGTGGCGATATAAGATTCCAATTCTTTCTCTTCTTGCAGCCTCGACTGTAAACACATGGTGCTGTTTTAGAGTTTCTCTAATTTTATCTGTGCATATTGTTCTTGGTCTACTTTGAGCTCTACGTCCTACGTATGCCTTGTATGGTATGGCATGGTAAAGCACCCTTTCTACGTGACAACTTCCCTCCATCTGCTGTCTTTGCAACTGGTTATTTGCTGTCATTTTATCCTATGACCTCGGTTTATTTGATCTTTTCTTGTCACTTCCTGCAGCACTTCACGTACATCTCATTTCTGTGTTTAATAATTTTCTTGTATGGTTTGTTATGAGTGACAATTTCTGAAGCGTGTAGACTGGGAATGAATATACTTTATATGAGATGTTTCCTTGTGCTGACTGAGATTGTCTTATGTTGTAAGAGAGGGTGGAGGGGTGGGGGATAGATGTGGGGGATAGCTGTACATAGACTTGGCTTGAATTAATGTATTTGATGTTAATTTCTTCATAAATGTTCCCATTTTCAGTAAATGTTGTACCTATTTATTTAAACGCCGATATCACCTGTTAATGATCTCACCTGTAAATGCCATTAAATTATTGTGATTTTGTATATCACAATCCACAGATCCGACAGTTGATGAAACTGGACAGTTACCCACGATTCCTGAAATCAGATCTGTACAAGAATATGTTGGTTGAAGAAATGAGAGGCAACATTTTTCACGAACCTGAACAGACAGGACAGAGGAAACATAAGAAGAAACAGGTTAGCTAGCAACATCTGACTCTGTGTTATGTGTGTAAGACCATGTATTTATCTCCTTTGTGTAACAGAAAGTAGTTCCGAATTGTAAAGTCTTAAGGTAGCTTACAGTCAGTAGACCAAGGAAAAACTGTTCTCTTATGGAAACGTTGCTTTATGGCCAGGGCAGGAAATATTAATTGTTCATGTGAGGTTCACAGCACTGAAAGCACATACGGGCACGTCTTTTATTATTTAACGGCAAGACAGTCAATTAATTATTTCGAAATTAATGCAGTATTTAATGAAATTACAATGTGAATGTTAAGTGACCCAATGATGGGGAATTCGAAACGAGATACTAGTTACATAAGAAGGGGGAGTATATAAAAACGGTGTCCTCACCAAAGCTATTCTGACAGCATTTGTTTGTTTTAGTATCCAGAAGCCATGAGTTGTTAACCCTTAGGCTCGGTATTATATATATCGCAACCTTTCGGCCTTGATTCCATTGTAAATACCGTAAATCTGGGAGAAAATGTGGCTTTCCTGCCTACCCCCGGGATTGAACCCGGACCACAAGGAGTACGTCACGCGGTCTCCGCGAAATCCGGTTTAGCCAATTCCGCTAGAGAGCCGGGCTCTGACAGCATTTAACACCAAGGAAGCAAAGAACCGGAATATCAGGTGTGACTACATACCACAAATAAAAGGAAATCAAATGAGACAGCAAAGAAACCTTCCTCGATATAGCAGGCCTCCGGGCGGCTGAAAAAGGATCAAACTTGGAATTTTTTTTTTTTTTTTGGGACGAATTGGGATTGGAATTGGAAAACTATTCTGAAAGGAAAATGGGAGATAATTTCTTCTTTGCTTGTTATCGAGTGCCGTGCCATCAACACATTGGTAGGCTGGGCAGTTATCGCATCATATCAGGCTAATTCTGTACGGACCATGATTTAATATAAATGTTCTGTTCATCCAACTGTATCATTTATCTTTTTCTTAAATTTCAAGAGTATCTAGAGGTATCAGTAAATATGTCTTTTGTTTAAATGGACGTTTTACACAACTCCACCTTTGTAAGTGATTGCCTAGGCAGGGCTAGTAGCCTTGTTGGGACATCAAAGCCTTTAATATGTTTCCGTTTGAGAGTTGTCATGAGGAATGGTAGGTGTTATTTTAAGAGAACCGAGGGGAAGGTTATTGTGTCCACCATTCAGGACCGGATCTAGACTTGATGACGCACTAAGCCATATAAAGGCCCGAGGCCCCTACCATTAAAAAAAAATCCAAAAATGGTGAAACTATGGGGGTGACTGCAGTCAAGCTAATACAAGGGATTCCAGAGAAATTTGACTAAAAAGCTCAACAAAATGAGAAAGAGGAAAACGTGCACAAAACAACACAACGTAACGTTTCGGCCGGGCCGCCTTTTTCAAACATAAGTGAACTACACAAACGAGGAATGGAGAGTATGTAGGTCTCTAAGGGGTGACGTGAGCGACGTTTAAAAAATTGGATTCGGAATATATGAAATAAAATAAAATAAACGATGGCTAAAAATAGAGTCACAATACTGGGAATAAAAGAAATACAAGTGTTAATGATACATAAATGATACTGATAAGAAATAAAATAAAGTAATTAACATTTAAAAATGTGGTAAGATTAGAACTATTTAGATGAAGGTATGTTGGAAATTGATACCACTTAAACTAAGAACGCCAAGGCTGTGGATAAGGCGATTTTCCAAAGCGAGGCCTGTAGTATGATCGCCAGAGCAAGATTTTAATGCTGTGACAGATATGTCGTCTTTACCGCTGTGGTCAGGGCTATTAAAATGAAGAGGGATTGGTTTGAGTGTCTTCTTGTCGACACTGCAACCTTAAAGACATACTTGTCCGAAGCCGACTCCCACCGATCCACACAGCACTTCCTTTTGGGACTACTCAATGCTCACGCAGCACCTGCAAGACATGTCCTTTCGTTGTCCAGACTTCTTCGGTCAGTTTCCCTAATGGTTCTTTTCAAATTAGGGAACCTTTTACTTGCGAATCCCGCAACGTAATTTATGCAGTTATCTGCAAACGATGCAGCAAAGCATACATTGGGGAGACCGGCAGGAAGCTAGCTGATCGTTTCCGAGCACACCTCTCCGATATCGAGTGACTGAGTAGACTCGAGTTTGTTTTAAAAAAAAAAACAAGGAAGTTAACTACATCCAAATGATTATTTTATTCGATTTAAACAGGCTACAACCACTTACAAAAAATAACAGCTTGAGACCAAATACATCCAGCACTGCTACTGTAGCAGCAATAGATCCAGCACTGCTACTGTGCTAGCAATAAATCCAGCACTGCTACTGTGCTAGCAATAGATCCAGCACTGCTACTGTGCTAGCAATAGATCCAGCACTGCTACTGTAGCAGCAATAAATCCAGCACTGCTACTGTGCTAGCAATAGATCCAGCACTGCTACTGTAGCAGCAATAGATCTAGCACTGCTACTGTGCTAGCAATAGATCCAGCACTGCTACTGTGCTAGCAATAAATCCAGCACTGCTACTGTGCTAGCAATAGATCCATCACTGCTACTGTAGCAGCAATAGATCCAGCACTGCTACTGTAGCAGCAATAGATCCAGCACTGCTACTGTGCTAGCAATAAATCCAGCACTGCTACTGTAGCAGCAATAGATCCAGCACTGCTACTGTGCTAGCAATAAATCCAGCACTGCTACTGTGCTAGCAATAGATCCAGCACTGCTACTGTGCTAGCAATAGATCCAGCACTGCTACTGTAGCAGCAATAAATCCAGCACTGCTACTGTGCTAGCAATAGATCCAGCACTGCTACTGTGCTAGCAATAGATCCAGCACTGCTACTGTAGCAGCAATAAATCCAGCACTGCTACTGTGCTAGCAATAAATCCAGCACTGCTACTGTGCTAGCAATAAATCCAGCACTGCTACTGTGCTAGCAATAAATCCAGCACTGCTACTGTGCTAGCAATAAATCCAGCACTGCTACTGTGCTAGCAATAAATCCAGCACTGCTACTGTGCTAGCAATAAATCCAGCACTGCTACTTTAGCAGCAATAGATCCAGCACTGCTACTGTAGCAGCAATAGATCCAGCACTGCTACTGTAGCAGCAATAGATCCAGCACTGCTACTGTGCTAGCAATAAATCCAGCACTGCTACTGTAGCAGCAATAGATCCAGCACTGCTACTGTGCTAGCAATAAATCCAGCACTGCTACTGTGCTAGCAATAGATCCAGCACTGCTACTGTGCTAGCAATAGATCCAGCACTGCTACTGTAGCAGCAATAAATCCAGCACTGCTACTGTGCTAGCAATAAATCCAGCACTGCTACTGTGCTAGCAATAAATCCAGCACTGCTACTGTGCTAGCAATAAATCCAGCACTGCTACTGTGCTAGCAATAAATCCAACACTGCTACTTTAGCAGCAATAGATCCAACACTGCTACTGTAGCAGCAATAAATCCAGCACTGCTACTTTAGCAGCAATAGATCCAGCACTGCTACTGTAGCAGCAATAGATCCAGCACTGCTACTGTAGCAGCAATAGATCCAGCACTGCTACTGTGCTAGCAATAAATCCAGCACTGCTACTGTAGCAGCAATAGATCCAGCACTGCTACTGTGCTAGCAATAAATCCAGCACTGCTACTGTGCTAGCAATAGATCCAGCACTGCTACTGTGCTAGCAATAGATCCAGCACTGCTACTGTAGCAGCAATAAATCCAGCACTGCTACTGTGCTAGCAATAAATCCAGCACTGCTACTGTGCTAGCAATAAATCCAGCACTGCTACTGTGCTAGCAATAAATCCAGCACTGCTACTGTGCTAGCAATAAATCCAGCACTGCTACTGTGCTAGCAATAAATCCAGCACTGCTACTGTGCTAGCAATAAATCCAACACTGCTACTTTAGCAGCAATAGATCCAACACTGCTACTGTAGCAGCAATAAATCCAACACTGCTACTGTGCTAGCAATAGATCCAGCACTGCTACTTTAGCAGCAATAAATCCAGCACTGCTACTGTGCTAGCAATAAATCCAACACTGCTACTTTAGCAGCAATAGATCCAACACTGCTACTGTAGCAGCAATAAATCCAGCACTGCTACTGTGCTAGCAATAGATCCAGCACTGCTACTTTAGCAGCATAGGATGAATTAATTGTACTTTAAACATAAAATAGTGTACAATTAAAATAATTGTAATAATCTTGATGTGTAAACTTTCTTTGGAATGTTTAAACAGATCTGGGATAGCCTTATTTTCTATTACGTTAAACTTCGTTTTAAACAAACAATCGTTTTTCTCGTATCTCTCAAGAGCTGTTCATGTACAACATGTTTTCTGTTGTCATATGTAAACAATTCACTTTTTTGTTTTCTCTCACTAAACATAGAAGACTGGAAAAGTAAATGGAGGGAAACGTTTGAGATCGCTGTTGTCATGGATACGAGGTAGGTGTTTTAGTTACATGTTCAGTTACATTTAAAAATAGTGATTCCCGCCGATGACTTTGACTTCTGTGACGAATTAACAGCCACTAGAGAATGAGCATTGGTATAACACTTACCTGTCAACACCATGTTTTAGATGTTCTATTTGTCTTCTTACCTAAATTCCCTTGCCCACGCGCTGTTTACCGCTGTAACTCTCATACGCACCACTCTCTCTGCCCCCCCCCCTTCCCACCACCCCTCTGTATATATATCATCCTCTCTTGACCTTTGTATATGTCTCTTTAGCTCTTTGTCTCTCCACTAGGCCCCTCTAGTTTTTCACATCCTTTCTTTCTGTTCAAGCCTCTGCCTCTATAATTCTCTGTACCCTTGTCTCTGCTGTTCTGTATCCCTCTAACTAATATATCTACATCTATCTTTTTATCAATTTGGTTATCCTTTCTTCTGTGTGGGTGTGTGTGTGTGTGTGTGTGTGTGTGTGTGTGTGTGTGTGTGTGTGTGTGTGTGTCAGAG